TTGATTATCCAACACAGACCTGACTGGGAGACAGTACTTCGGCCAAAAGAGATTCAAAACTGTTGCTGATGATGATTTTCTAGGAAATTTAATGAAAAAGTTGAATAACATTCGTGACACACACTTTCCACTAATAAACTGTCATCAAAACAGTAGTTAAGTGTCACTTCAAACGATAAGCCATGTTTTCAGTCAAAAATGGTACTTCTCCTGCATCTGTTACCTTGCCACTAACTCAAAAATTAGGTAGAAATCCTCTGTATATCCATCTCGGATCAGAAACAGTGGTCTCAGGAATAGCCCCAGCAGAAGCACGGCTCTCAGCGGCTCCCTCTTTCTCAGTAATCTGATGGTGCAGTATTTTTTTTAAACTCAATTAGCATTCTTTTTTAGATTTAGCTTTTTTAAAAGGTGAAAAATCGATATGAGGTGGTACCATGTTTCACGTTCTCCACTATGGGAACAACAAAAGGATAGAGCTTCGCAGAAAATGCGCGCTATGGTACATAAAATATAGCAGGACATGCAAATTATGCTCAACAACATGCAAACTATACACATTCTTAGAGTTACACAAAATTTTTGCACAAACACACACACACTTATCATCGACTACAGCAGAAACAGATCCATTCAATTCAATATAATTTCGGATCAGGCCAACCAAAAACGTTAAATGATGGCATTTTGACTGACAAAAAAACTAGCAGCTATATAAGCAAATTATAATTTAAAGAATGCCTCAGGGTTTCACCGGAAAACAGTCCCTCTGAAGCCGATGCTTTCCAACAAGTACTGCCAAAAATTACCCATCTGAATCATTAAATGTATGGCCTCACTTGATGGTACTTAGAATTTTGATTTTCCACTTGAGTTATTATTTGTTTGTTTGCAGCTGCTACTCATATTCTTCCCGCCTCAGTAGAGAACAAATTCGAAAGCGGATTTGATTTTCACTAAATTATACGGAGAAGCAATTTTTTTTCTTCCGATTCGTTACTAATTAAGTTCAAACTTCGTTTTTACAGGAAGGGAGCATCCAGGATTTTTAAAAAGCATAAAAAAGACAAAAGAAGAAAACAATTATATAAGATCGGGGAGTGATTTACCCTTCCAAAAGATCGTCTGAGAAATGCAGTATCTGGTGAAAAATGCCCGGAACTGCTGAAAAAAATGAATGTTTATAAGTTTCTACGCTACAGCGTAGTCAGTACGTTTTAGAATTCATGGAATGACACAAATTGGTAGCTAATCATACAAATGTACAAATCACAAAAATGCATAAAGCTTTTGGAAAAAAAAACGAAATTTTAAATATGCAGCTATAAATTAGCTATGTGACAAGGCGGTGTCCGCAAAACCACGTTCCAGTTGTCGTGGTTCGGTTGGAATGTCTGTCGGCTGCTGCACGATTAATGTCAAAGGCGTTTCGATGAGTTCCTGAGGATCGACTCGCGCTTCTTCAAATGTATCCTGAAAACCATGCAATATTGTATCCCGAACTACTAAGACTCTACAGAACAGGATCATTAAGGACTTATAAAGGCAAAGGGAATATTTTGTCATCTTGCTGTTTTCGCTTTCTGTTAGCTTTCTAGCAATGCGCGAGTTGTTGCAAAGAAAAGACGCGAATTTCAGGACTACTAAACCAAAAATTTGTATACCGAATCGTTGAGTAATCTTTCTTTCATATAAATAAGCTGATCGTTCGGAAGCTGACCCGTTTTCTGGTAAATCTTCAGTTTCAATTGATGAATTGTGTTTAGTGATGTCATCTGCAACAGGATGAACAAATAATCCGCCATTCCCTAACAACTGTGGTGCTGGTACGAATGAGTGGGAAAGTGAAGGCGATTCTTCTGTCATATTTATATAACAAAATTTAACATCAACAAAGTCTGTTCGGTAAGATAACTTATTGCACCATAAAAGTGGCAAATTTTGGGATGAGATGGTGATTGCTCAAGTTATGCCGAAGAAATTTCAAAAAAAAAAAGAGAATAGAGCCTTGACAAGCGCTTTTGCTATGACCAGAGCTGGTAATCTCTCTAGGAGACGAAAAGAACGTCAGAATCGTCAATAAACTGATCAACAGAGGATGTAGCACTGGTCCCAGTTGCACAATTCGAGTAGACTATAAAATAAGCTGGTTCAACACCCAAGCATATAAGGCTAGTTTGTCAAGCAAGGAATTTAAGGGGAAAATGCACTCATGCCAATAACATGATCGATATCTTTAATAAGAAGCTGTAACTTGCCCTGAATACCATGGAACATTTTGCGACGGCACGTCTCGTTGTTGCATACCGCTCGCTGCGTATCA